CTTAGTGAAAGCCGAACTTGGCCCTTGTCTTCAAATATGATTTAGGTTTTGTGTAACATGTGTGGGATCTTGGCCACATCCATAGTTTGTGTGTGCCCCCCATCAAACAATTCAGTATCAATTGCATTCTCCCTTCAGGGGACAGCCATCACTGAAGGACTCTCAGACAAGATTGCCTTAGAAAAACTGTACAAGAGCAACAGAGGTACTGCAAGAGGTACTGCTGTGGGGGAGCTTGCACTATACTTGGCTGTATCTCTCTGCTGTATCTATCTTTACATCACCTGACACAGGGGCCCAGAGGCCAGCCCTCCTAACAATTCGAGCACTGGGGTGCTATGTAATTATGTAGGTTTAGAATAAGCTAGCTGATAGCCTTACAATATCTGAGCTAAAAAGATACTTTTTTTTAAATGGCTAGAACAGAGGGCTAGAAGGTCAGGACTCCTGGTTTCTGTTTCAAGCTCTGCCACTCACTTACTGGGTAACCTAGGGCAAGTCCCTTAACCTCTCTGTGTCTCTGTTTACCCATATATAAAATGGGGATGATTAATACTTCCCTGGTTTACAGGAGAGCTTTAAGACTTAATTAATGTCTGTAAAGTGCTTTGAGATCCTTGGATGAAAGGTGCTCAGTACAAAAGGACAAAGTGCTAAGTACAGAAGAACCAAGGCTTTAGGGATAGCTCATGTTTCCGTTAGCTATTAATGGACTGAAGGAGGAAACATTTGTGCATCAGAAGAGTTTATATACCACTTTTAAATTAATGGCAGCTACTCAGCTAAGAATATAATTCAGTCCACAAGGAATATGACAGCTATGCTTGGCAGGCTTGACATAATTTTGCTGCTAAAAATATTTCTCAGTTCCATAACATCAGTACAGTTTCTGGAACATCTCCCAGGGTAAGAACCTGCAATAGGAAGTGTGGAGGGAAGATCGAGTCTTGGTTCCTTGACTCCCAGCACCAGCTGTTTCAGCCTGTTTTGGATCACCTGTCTCCCAAGTCGAGAATGATGGGAGCTTTGTACCAAGACAGAGAGATGCATGTGTCCCCCATTTACCCCTTTTTGGGTTTGATTTTCTCCAAAATCAATAGGGATCTAACCATTGAAGCCTAGAATATTCCCTGAAATTTTGAAACTGACCAGATGTGGCAGACAGAGAGATGCCTTTGAATTGAATGCAAGGTCTGTGCAATCTTGGCCAATAAATGCCAGAAATTTCAACTTAAAATTTCCTTTTTCATTTTTTGCATGAAATTTACATACGATGTAGAATTGTCAACATATGTCTTTAGCCATCCTACTGATAAACTGCTTAGTATGGAAATGCATTTCTTCCACCCTAAGCAGGTTGTGGAATCTCCGTCCTTGGACATATTTTAGAGCAGGTTAGACAATCACCTGTCAGGAATGGTCTAGATCAGCAGTTCTCAAACTGTGGGTCGAGACCTCAAAGTGAGTCGCGACCCCAATTTAATGAGGTCGCCGGGGCTGGCTTAGACTTGCTAGGGCCCAGGACCAGAGCCCGCAGGCTTCAGCCCTGGGCATCGGGACTCAGGTTACACACCCCCTGCCTGGAGCTGAAACCCTTGGGCTTTGGCTTTGGCCCTCCCGCCACCAGGGGCTTGGGCTGGCTCAGGCTTCAGTCCCCCCTCCTAGGGTCGCATAGTAATTTTTATTGGCCAAAGGGGGTTGTGGTGCAATGAAGTTTGAGAACCCCTGGTCTAGATAATACTTAGTCCTGCCTTGAGTGCAGGGGCCTGGACCATATGACCTCTTGAGGTCCCTTCCAATCCTACACTTCTCTGATTCTATGTACTGCCTCACTCAGAACCCTGCTGCCTGCTCTAATGGCTGGATCTCTGAGCATGGGAGGGAGGGGGAAAGAGAGGTGGGTTTTCAAAGCAAAGATAATCCCCAGGGACTTCATCGGTTACTAGAGGAGCAGAGTTTCCTGTGGTTATTTCACTGACACTTTTTAGAAAAATTACATCTCTTGAGAAAGCTTCGCCTCTCCAGGCACAGCTCAGAACCTTTCAGAGTAAGAAAGCAGAGGAGATATCAGCTGAATTGCTTTGCTTTGGTGTCTTCTCTTTCCAAGTGACACTTTAGCTACACAGGAAATGTCTCTCTACTTTCAAAGCACCTCTTCAATCTTCACCTCAGGTCTTCCTGGAGAGTAACACTACCCTCCCCACCCCTGACGGAGGATAAGCAGCCGCTGGAACATCTGCTACATCCCACAGGCTCCCTGCTCTGCTCTTGCTTTGAGAGACTCCTGGGGATCTGAGTGCAGACTGTCATTCTGGCTGCTGAATTTAGTGCCTCCTTGAACAGTTTTGAGTGGGCTCTTCAGGGTTAAGTTACTCTTTCATTGTGATGACAGTCGGTTTGGGGGGAAAACCAAACAATTCCTTTTTTCTCACCTCCCCATGCACACTTTGGTTCCAGGAGTTTGCCTAGTCTGTCAGGGAGAACTGATACAATCTCAGGCTAACCCAAGCCTCTACTGAGAAAAGGGGGGAAAAAAAAAAAACCAACACACACCTAGGATAGCCAAGTCCCCCTCCATGCAGTACCCAGCTAGCCTCCCTGCACACCAGTGTCTCATTGAGTTTCCACTTGCCTGTTGGTGGTTGTCACTGGATTTAAAGCAGGTCTAGGACATGACAAAGAATGCCTCCTTCGGCAGGTCACCTTGAAGAGACCCAGAAAACAGCCCAATGCATGTATCACAAGCTGTATCACAAAATAGCCAGGATGTTCATGCAGGAGCGGCGCCAGGGTTTTTGGCGCCCTAGGCAGGGGTCCTTCCGCGCTCCCGGTCTTCGGGGCACTTCGGCGGCGGGTCCCGGAGCAAGTGAAGGACCCGCCGCAGAATTGCCACCGAAGACCCGGAGTGGGGAAGGGCCCCCCGCCGCTGAATTGCCGCCCAGGGTGGCAAAATGCCCCCCCCCCCAAATCCTGGTGCCCTAGGCGACCGCCTAGGTCACCTAAATGGAAGTGCCGGCCCTGCGTTCATGCCATTTTATCAGAAAGGCCCCATGCACTCCATAGCAAGTTGCACTTAAATTCTGCAGCAAAGCCCCTAGATTGTGTAGCACTCCAGCAGCGCAGACTGCAACAGAGTGGTCCAATAAAAGATATTACCTCACCCACCTTGTCTCTGCAAAAGCCTACGTTACATTAAAAGATTTAATTAAATATGAAAATAGAATCAGTGCAGAACAGTGGGGGGTTTTACATTACATTTATTTTGATGCTGTCCTCACACTTCTGTTTTCAATATGTCAAAGATTTTTGTACTGATATGATACAAATGAATCACAGAAGCCAGAGGATTAACGTTGGCATTTAACTTTTCATGTTCAGGTTTCTGCATTTACTGCTGGTTAAGACGGATAGACCACTGCAGCCCTTTGAGCTATTGCTTTAGGCTGTCTGCAGACTTGGGGAGACAGCACTGCAGCAGTTTACACACTGCTTTCAAGGTTATCACAATCATGAGTGCTTGAAACTTTCTTTAAAAAATGAAAGCTGTGGTTCCAGAGCATGATTCTATGGCAAATTCCACAGCCCGAGAATACACAGTACTCTGATCGTAACCTGGGGCTAGAACAGGATTTAGCCCGATGCAATTAGATCAACCTTTAAACCAGCAAACCTCTCTCACCTTTGGCAATCTTGGTAGTAATGCTGGGTCTGCATGCCTTTTGCAAGGAGAGGGAGAAGGTAGCTGGGCTGCCACAGCAGCAAATCTGTAACGCACGCCTGCTTTCATTATTTCTAGCTAGCATGGCACACTGTTCCCTCTCTTGCCAGCAAGGCCAGTTAATCCTGCCTGATGCTTTCACACTGTGTTTGTCACTCTCTTGTTTCAATGAAGGAGCTGGTCCAACAATAACCCTGCGGCTATTCACTCCTGTTGGACACGCTATCTGGAAGTGGCCATTCCATCACAAATCACCATTGGAAACTGCCCCACAGAAAGCAAGAAAGCGGAGAAACTTGCAAGTTTTGACTCTTGCATATGACATTCCTTTGTATGTTGAGCATGCACATGTAATGTAATATGACAAGATAGTGTCTTAAGTGATTATTGGTGGAAGTTGGCATAGGGCATCTCTGCCAGGGTATGCAGATTTTTAATTTCTCTGGGAGGCCACAATGCTTATGGCCATCTCAGTCAGGATTGTTCTTGGTATCCCTGTTCTTTACTTACATTCTGCTAGATACTGTGTCTTCAAGTAACTCCACCAGCTGCACTAATCATCGTACTGTGCTAGGGTATTTCCACATAGCTAAGCAATGACTGGGTGAATAGATTATCCATAGTGGATTTCATTGAGAATTCTGCCCCTTACTCGTCCTAAGTTCTAGGAAGCTCTGCTCTTGTTTTGTTTTTTAATTTCCAAGACTATATTAGGGAAAATATGGCTGTGCGGAGGGTTGGGCTATAGCTTAGCCAGTGTGTGTACCCATTTTAAATTCCTATTGACTCATACTCACTACACTTCCGTGGGACCAGGAAGCAATGGCAAGATTCCCATTGACTTTAATGGAGCCAAAATTTCAACTCAGACATTTAAGATCTGAGGCCAAAAGCTTTAACTGTCCAACAGATTTAATATGTCTGTAAAGGTACTTGCTTGTAGTGCTCTAACTGCCATGAGATGAGGGAAACGGTATCATGAAAGGAACTTGAAGAGAAGACACAGTTACTCCCATTGCTAGAACATGCACTCAGCCTAGGGTGACCAGATGTCCCAATTTTATAGGGACAGTCCCAATTTTGGGGACTTTATCTTATATAGGCACCTATTACCCCCCCCCACCCCGTCCCAATTTTTTTACACTTGCTATCTGGTCACCCTCACTCAGCCAGACCCAATCCAGCAGCTCTACTTGTCTATATTTCCAGGTAGTGTATCTCTACTGTCCCTGTTACTGGGTATCTAAGGGTATAAAACAACTGGTGCTTTTATTTTCCTCAGAAATACCTGGAATTCAAAGCTGAACACTGGATGTGTGTTCTAAGCAGGACTGACAGCCTAGCCCAGCATGGTGGATGGTTGTTAGCAGAAAGAGATACCCCTTCATGCAAACAGCCTACAAAATTGAAGTTCAGCCCTGAGATTTTTAAACTGGGAACGTCAGAAGAAATACAGCCCCCTGTCCAGTCCAACTAACTGGCATGAGTCAGGCCCCAGATGTTTTTACTTCTTGGTGTGACGTTCCACTGTCAAAATGAATCATAATGCAACTGGAAATGTAAGGGCATTAAGAAAGCGCACCTGCACTGACAGCATCCTTTGCTCCATTCAGAATGCAGCCGATCAGCAGTTTTTCCTCATACCCCCTACTCTTTTCATGATCGGACTATTGCTTTTGTATTGCATACAAGGAAGGCGTAATATATGAACCATCTGAGCTGTTATGAATGTTAAGCCCCAGCAGTGGTATTGGATGTCTTAAAAGAATTTAGTGGGGAAACAAAACAGAGATTCTTGAAAAAACTGCATTACTGACAGGGCAAAGGCATGAAAACAGCAGGTGGAGATACACAGCAGCAACTCACTACCTCTGATTCGAGAAGAACATCAAAGCTCCTACTTGCTCCTAGTTGAAGACAACAGTCATTTTTTTAAAAACAAGAAAGCATGGAAATAGTATTGGGAAAGACTCTGCTCTTAATAGGAAATGTCTAGTTTCTCTTTCCTCTTACATTCTAATTGGGACCCCTATCTTGAAAAGCTCTAAAGCATGGGGTTCAAACTATTTGTGTAGAAGACTGAATTCCCCATCTCACTATAGGCTTTGGCTGGGGTGTAAATTCTGGACCATGGACACTCTTCAATGCACAGCAATTGGAACTCCCCCTGATGTCAAAGGGAGGGCTCCACAAAGGGGAAGGATTATATATGGCCTTTGTAGTAATTGAACATTTAGTTATTTACTACTTGTTCAGTTCCTTATTGTCACGTACCACATCATTCGGTGGGAATATTAGCTTCTCTTCAGGACATTGCTATTTCTGACCTCTGTTTCTCATCCTCCTTTCTTCCCGCAGTGTTTCCATCTCAACAGCAGCTCCTAGCTTCCTCCATGGACTCCAGTCCCACCCCACTCCTCATTCATCTGCTAAAATTATGGGCAATTAAACTGTTTATTGATATTTAATGTCATCATCAGACATTAGAGTTAACCCCTCCCAGTGACATTTTTAGGGACCAGGGAAATTTTACACCTCTCCCAGCTATTCTTTCAGATGGCATGCAGACACCAGAAGATAATACTTCATTGATTTAACCAAGTATCTTTGCAGGCACATGAGCTAGAGTCTTAGGGCTATTCTACATGAGACAAGCTGCACCAGCATAATTCTATTTAAATTCATGCAGGTTACACTGGTGCAAATCCTTAATGCTGATGCACTTAAACTGGTTTAAACCTCACATATTTTGATTTAGCTAAAATGTTGGTAAAAGACTGAATCTAAACTCATCTAAATGCATCAAGATATAGTGTATCTAGAATCCCTATTGTTGCACTGATGTGACTTTCTAATATAGATAATCGCTTTAATTTTTCCCTTTTTCAAACAGAAGCTTAGATTCTGCAGAGCCTGAATAGGCCATGTAAATACATCTCCAAGGGAGGGTGTTTGGCACCTAGGCTCTAAAATTTGATGCAGGGCTCTGTTATGGAGTTCCCCTATTTCTATTTCAGTGAGTAGGACTGTTAATGTGGGGGATTGTATTTTTGTTTGTTTGTTTGTTTGCAGGCTTAATGAGGCTTTCTGGACAGTGCTATATAAAGATTTCTTGTGATGCAAAGTAGAGCTGAAAAAAATCAGCTTCACTGTTGGGAAATATTAGAAAGTTTCATTTTTTTGCTATAAAGTTTATAATACTCTTTAAAACATTGAGTTCTGGACACTGATCTTATTTGAGAGGTGTTAAATCTTTAGTGGAAGTTTTACCCCATTCTAGTTCTCTAGATTCTACCTTTCTTTATGTTTGCTTCTTAAAATGTGTAGTGGGGTGGTTTGGGGTTTTTTCAATTATCAGCTATTTGACTTAGGCATGAGGGCAGGTGGATAAAAATAAGTGAGTTTTTGAAAAATCAAAAAAAATTAAAGATTTTTTTATTTAAATTGG